TAAAAGCTTATCTATTGAATGAAATCTTTGACATTAAATCTATAATTGTTGCCTTACTCTGCACAATCTGTATCCTATCAAAATAGCTTTAAAGACTATTTCCAGGCCAATTTCGATCCTGGTTTGATTTCCGGAATTGTTGATTTAATCTGTCTGGATAAACCATTCTGACAAGCTTCAAGCCCGTTTGGAATAGTCTCTAAAATACTCTTCTACAGCTCTTTCTTTTGTACTTTTGACTTTGGAAAAAGGTAAAAGGCAATTTGCTTTTGGCAAAAGTGTAAACCCATCTCTTCTAACTCATCAAATTCTTTTCCAATCATTTTCTCGTTACCAAATCGATAAATATCGTGATTGTAGTGCACCAGAAGAGTTGCGTTTACATAGAGTTAAAGTCTGCTGATGAATAAGGCTTAAAGCAAGGAAAACAAGGATTATACTTTTACAAGAATTATACAAATTCAAAGTTTCTTTTGCTTTGTTTTGCTTTGCTTTGCTTTGCTTTGTTTTGCTTTTCTTTGCTTTGCTTTGCGAACTCTGTATTTTGTATGCATTTTGTCTATATTTTGTAGTCTGTAGTTATAGTGAAGTTTTAAAATCAAGATCCATAAGCTAAAATAAAGATCTCTAAGCTAAAATCAAGATCCATAAGTTAAAATAAAGATCTCTAAGCTAAAATCAAGATCTCTAAGCTAAAATCAAGATTTCTAAGCTAAAATCAAGATTTCTAAGCTAAAATCAAGATTTCTAAGCTAAAATCAAGATTTCTAAGCTAAAATCAAGATTTCTAAGCTAAAATAAAGATCTCTAAGCTAAAATCAAGATTTCTAAGCTAAAATAAAGATCTCTAAGCTAAAATCAAGATTTCTAAGCTAAAATCAAGATTTCTAAGCTAAAATCAAGATTTCTAAGCTAAAATCAAGATTTCTAAGCTAAAATCAAGATTTCTAAGCTAAAATAAAGATCTCTAAGCTAAAATCAAGATTTCTAAGCTAAAATCAAGATTTCTAAGCTAAAATCAAGATTTCTAAGCTAAAATAAAGATCTCTAAGCTAAAATCAAGATTTCTAAGCTAAAATAAAGATCTCTAAGCTAAAATAAAGATCTCTAAGCTAAAATCAAGATTTCTAAGCTAAAATAAAGATCTCTAAGCTAAAATCAAGATTTCTAAGCTAAAATCAAGATCCATAAGTTAAAATAAAGATTTCTAAGCTAAAATTACTAGCTAAAAACCTCAAAAAGTTAAAAAATCTTTCAAAAAATCTCTTAAAGCGGTCATTTTCTGTTTTTCTGTTAAAAACACACGTCAAAAGCTATTCTTTTCTTTCGTTCTTTCATTCTTTCATTTAATTCTTCAATTTGTTTCTTTCTTCTTTTTTCAATCTCTTCCAATCTCTTCCAATCTCCTCCAATCTCTTCCAATCTCCTCCAATCTCTTCCAATCTCTTCCAATCTCTTCCAATCTCTTCCAATCTCTTCCAATCTCTTCCAATCTCTTCCAATCTCCTCCAATCTCCTCCAATCTCTTCCAATCTCTTCCAATCTCTTCCAATCTCCTCCAATCTCCTCCAATCTCTTCCAATCTCTTCCAATCTCTTCCAATCTCTTCCCATCTCTTCCAATCTCCTCCAATCTCCTCCAATCTCTTCCAATCTCTTCCAATCTCTTCCAATCTCTTCCAATCTCCTCCAATCTCTTCCAATCTCTTCCAATCTCTTCCAATCTCTTCCAATCTCTTCCAATCTCTTCCAATCTCTTCCAATCTCTTCCAATCTCTTCCAATCTCTTCCAATCACATCTCATTGAAAAAAGAAAAAGAAAAACAAAATGAATTTGGGTTAAACGAAAATCTTTTTCTGTTCGAAATTCTTTTTTTTCTGTTTTTTTTTTAGTAAAAAAAATTTGGGTAAAAAGGCGGAATTTGGGGGAAATTTTTGCAGTAAATTCAATCAAATTAACGGATTTTTTTTTTTCGTTTTGAAAGCTTTGATTTCTATTAAATCTTTTTTGCTTCGAAAATTTCATTATTAAACCTTTTCAGTAAGGTTTTTCCATTGATTTTTCAGTTTTTCCATTGATTTCTTTGATTTTTCATTGATTTTTCATTGATTTTTATTTCTTTTTTCAAAAATCCCCAGACTTTTCCTTAAAATTTCATCAAAAACAACGAAATTTGAATTTTTTTTCATGAAACTTTGCGATTTTTGAGTCAAACTTTACTAGATTACTCGTTTTTTTGCTTTTTTTTGCTTTCTTTTTGCTTTCTTTTGCTTTTTCGGGATAAATTCTTAAGAAAAACTTATCACGAGAAATGTTGCGTGTCTCAAGCAGTGATTTAGCGCTAAGAAAAGAGATTTCAAAGATGAGTAAAACGGCTAAAACCCATTTTACTAAAACTAAAACCCATTTTTTGAAGTTTAGATGAACGAAACTAGTGTTCTAGTTGGTAGATTTAATGAAATAAATATCTTCAATCGATTCGCCGACCTCGAAAACCCCTGGATACAAATTTACAGCTGGATATCTTGTTTTTAAATGAGATGAAATGCTCTAAAAGATCTAAATGAAAATGATTGGCCAGGTGTTCTTTGTGCGGGCGAGCAATCGCTCTCCATCTGGCACCTCGAAAAGCCCTGGGTTCAAATTTCCAGCTGAATATCTTTATCGATGATCTACAAAGCAAACGACTGTGTAAACTGACTGGCTAGGTGTTCTTTGTGCGGGCGAGCAATCGCTCTCCATCTGGCACCTCGTAAACCCCCGGGTGCAAATCTCCAGCTGAATATCTTTATCGATGATCTACAAAGCAAACGACTGTGTAAACTGACTGGCTAGGTGTTCTTTGTGCGGGCCGCAATCGCTCTCCATCTGGCACACGGGCCCGATAGATAGGTCTACCCTTTTCGATTTCGTAAACATCCCGTCCTCTGCCATCAACCATTTTTTCCCACTGCCGTTTTCCCAGAGGTTTTGCAGACGTTTTTGCAGACATTTTCCAGACATTTTCCAGACATTTTCCAGACATTTTCCAGGCATTTTCCAGACGTTTTCCAGTCGTTGCCGAGACGTTTCCCCGACGTTTCCCATTTGTTTAAAGAATCCGTTTTTTGTTCTTGATCTAACAAATTACAGTTTCCAATTCTAAACGACCCAAATAGTCACATCCGGTTTCAGAAAAACCCACTAATTATCATTTTACCAAATTTCATTCCACTTTTCTTAGAACCGAGTTTTGTGAAGAGATCCACTTGAGAACTCTCATTTTCTTCCTTTTTATCTCTTCCTTTTTTCGCTTTTTGATTGAAAAGAGTTTCCTCTTTAGTGCAAAACAAAGAGCTCATTGAAATATTCACGTGAAAGCTGAAAGAAGAAAAGAAAAAAGAGAAAGATTTAGAGCGATTTGCTAAAATTGGACTTGCAATTTTGCAAGGGGTGATTTGAGGATAATTTATAGTCACTACACCCATTGAATTAGTGATTCAGATAAAGATTTCTTCAGATATTTGATTAGTTTTTGTTTCTTTTTGTGTAGTAGTACAAATTCAATATGTTTGTTTCTTCTCAAACAGACTTTTCCCATGCTTTTTGCTCAATCCATTTTCCTATTCATTATCCAATTGCTTAACAACTTTGATTTTGATTCTAATTATCATTATTCAATTATCATTATTCAATTGTCATTATTCAATTATCATTATTCACAAACGCACATCATCTGGCGCACTAATCGATGCAGAAAACTTTATTCTTCACACTTTATACTCAAAAATCTAAACAAATCCCTTCTAGTGCATTTCTAAACACAACCAAAAGCCAGTATTAACAAAAAATTGAAGAAGAAAAGAATCCATATGACAGAAAGGGCGCGTTTAACGGTGAGCACAAAGTACACACGGAAGACTTTCCGTCTACACCTTTTCTAGCGCACTCAAATCTTTCGCAGCAACCCAGGAAAGCTAAATTATAGAGTTCACTAGAAAGGGTGCGTTTGCAAAGTATTGAAAACTGTAAACAGTAAAGCTCAGTAAAGCTCTAGTGGGATTGCTTTGATTGAATTGAAATAAATCGATTCTTCAATCTTCAATCAATTCTATGGCAACTCTTGCACTCAAATTACCCCAAATGATTCACCAATTCAACACCGTGTCTCGTATTTGTCAATTCCTCCTTTATCCCCATCATTTCCCCCCGTGAATCTCGATTCTTTTCCTTCTCACTCCTCCACTTTATTTCCTCATTCATCTAACTAGACAATAACGGGAAATTGGTGTTTTGATGAGAGAAAGTCACAAAAATTTCTCAAAAAACGATTGGGGATTAAGCCGGAACTCTTCTAATTGACCGTTTTTGAGTCAAAATTTGTGTTTTTTTGAAGTTTTTTGGAAAAAAGGATTGACTTTTACTGAAAAATAACGAAATTTTCGGCAATGAACTTTCGAAGATTACGATTTTCTTCCTTGTTGGCAATTGTTTCGGTTCATTGGCTTTAGCAATTGGCTTTAACAATTGGCTTTGGCATTTGGCTTTAGCAATTGACTTTAGCAATTGGCTTTGGCAACAATTGGCTTTGGCAATTGGCTTTAGCAATTGGCTTTAGCATTTGGCTTTGGCAATTGGCTTTGGCAACAATTGGCTTTAACAATTGGCTTTAGCAATTAGCTTTGGCATTTGGCTTTAGCATTTGGCTTTGGCAATTAGCTTTAGCAATTGGCTTTGGCATTTGGCTTTGGCAACAATTGGCTTTAACAATTGGCTTTAGCAATTAGCTTTAGCAATTAGCTTTGGCAACAATTGGCTTTGGCAATTCTTTGAGTTCATTCGCTTTGCCAATTCTTTCAGTCCATTGACTTTGGCAATCTTTTCGGTTCATTTACCCAACTGAATCAAATCAATTCTTGTCGGATTTTTGATTTTGAAAGTTTTAAGTTTTAAACTCTATTCTCAAAGCTTGAGTTTCGATAAGAGTTTTCAAAAAAATCGATTTCATTTTAGACCCAGAGATGGGAACGGGTGAGTGGAATGGATCGTGTATTCCGATGCAATCATTCATCAAGGATAAGCATAATATTCACGATGTCACTGCGTGAGTTTTGTGCTGCTTTCTAAAAAACATCTAAATCATCGTAATTCTGCGAGTTTCCATTTGATAAGCTCAATTTTTTTCACATTGACTGAGCCTTGTTATTCTCTATCGAATGTGATCAAAATTTGAGCTGATTAGATGTAAACTGGTGGCACGGTGGTTCTCTGAAATAAGATTGTTGACTAGATTGTTGACTAGATTGTTAACTAGATTATTGACTAGATTGTTGACTAGATTGTTGACTAGATTGTTAACTAGATTGTTAACTAGATTGTTAACTAGATTGTTAATTAGATTGTTAATTAGCCGCTTAATTAGACGCTTAATTAGAGTTGTTAATTAATTAGAGATTTAGAGACGTTTACGTGAAGACGATCTTCATCATCTTGTACAGTTTTCTCTTCTTATTTGGTGAGTAAGAGATTTTCAATTCACCAACCCAATAGTTGACAAAATATTGGGTAATTAAACCGGTGACTTTTTGGTGACTCGTCTCACATCTGATGATAAAAAGCCAAGCCAAGCCAAGCCAAGCCAAGCCAAGCCAAGCCAAGCCCAAGGAAAGTTTCTCTATTCCAGGCTTATTGGGAAATGGCGGTGTTGTCTTAGCGATGTGCGGGAATCGTCGCCTTCGATCAGCGCGAAACATTTTCCTTCTCAATCTAATCATCACCGATTTGTTGTTGGTGTTGACGGCGGTGCCAGTGACTCCATGGTGAGTATAGGAGAAGATAATAAGTAGATAAGTAGATAAGTAGATAAGTAGATAAGTAAATACCATAAATACTGTAATAGCACCCCATCCCCATAATGACGATGCGGAGTGTTGTGTAGTCTAGCTTTGAACGCGTTTTTCTCAAGACTAGTTCATGCTACAATGAGTGCTTAGGTACCAAAAAATAGCCCTGAATTTCAGCTATTTTTTGATACCAAAGACGCATTTTTTGAAAGTACGAGCGCTTTGAAAAACAATGAAATACTAAAAAACTTTTGCGACTACGCGACTGTACGACTATTACAGTATTTACGGTAAGTAGATAAATAGATAACTAGATAACTAGATAACTAGATAAGTAGATAACTAGATAAGTAGCTAACTAGATAACTAGATAAGTAGATAACTAGATAACTAGATAACTAGATAACTAGATAACTAGATAACTAGATAAGTTATCCGAAAAACCATTCAAAAAACTCTTCTTTCAGGTACGCACTAACAAAAGATTGGCAATTCGGCTCAGCTATGTGTCACTTAGTGCCATTGAGCAATTCTTGTTCAGTTTTTGTGACGAGGTTTGCTTTTTGTGGGATAAGAGATCTCAAAGATCTCAAAGAATTGCTATAAACAAGTAAATCAAGTAAATGATCGTTTTTGTTTAGTTGGAGTCTCACCGCGATCTCAATAGACAAATTTTTGCATATCATGGATCCAACAAAGGCGCCTGTTTCGGTAGTTTTCAATTACAAAATTGAGAATTGCTTTTATCTTTCAGAAAAGACAAGCCTCTTTCATTACAACTTTTATTTGGTCAGTCTCGACTCTCATCAATTATCCATATTTTCTGAGCTTTGATCTCGTTGATGGTGGATATTATGTGAAAGAAGGAGAAGCGCCGTTGTGTGGCAGATTTTGTGATGGTAAGTTGTAAGTTACCGCAATCCGATTCGTCGTTTACAGTAGTACAGTAACCCCAAGTAGTACAGTTAAAAGGATTAGACGAAGCTCATCACAGTAAACTACTCTAAAACTTGACTCTACCGTAATCCTAGCTAATCTACTCTACTGTAATCCTAGCTCATTTAGTTGCTTACAGTAATCCGGATTACAAAAAGTAGAGTTCTTTTGGGGGTACTGTAATCCTAGCCCTATTCGGTAACCACACCAGAGGTTTTCCAGTAACCAGACAGTTACAGTAATCTTTGCTTTGAAATTTCAGAAACGAAATGGGCAAGCGATAGTGCAAGGCAATTGTATGGAACGATTGTCATGTTGTTGCAGGTTTATCAAGTTTCAAATAAACAATGTACTTTGTGCTTAAGTGTAAACACACTCTTTCTAAGGCATTCAATTCCCATGTTTCGATTTCCATTCAATTTCAATGCTGGCGTAATTATCCAAGTTCGAAAGAGTAATGTCAAATTGCTCCATCTGTTCTTTGCGCTCACCGATAAACGCACCCTTTCTGGCATTTTGGACACAGCTAGGCTCCATCCGTTCTTTGTGCTCACCGGTAAACGCACCCGTTCTGGCATTTTGGACACAGCTAGGCTCCATCCGTTCTTTGTGCTCACCGGTAAACGCACCCTTTCTGGCATTTTGGACACAGCTAGGCTCCATCCGTTCTTTGTGCTCACCGGTAAACGCACCCTTTCTGGCATTTTGGACACAGCTAGATGCCTTTAACGAGACGCGAAAAGAACGCACAACAGGAAGGCAGTGAAAAGAGGGCTTTGAATGCAATAGGAAGACTGCGTTTAGCTTTTAGCACAAAGTACATCTAATTTCAAAGTACAAAGTACAAAGTACCGCCCTAAAAGCTCAGTGATCTAGCTCTTAAAGCTCTTAAATGAATTTTTCAGTTTGTCGTCCCAATGCTGATCATTTCTTTCTGCTATTTTATGATTCTCAACAAAGTCGCACGCGATTCGATCATTCAAAACGCTCAATTCTGTCATTCTTTAAGCCAAAAGCAACGAATCGACGCGGTGAATCGAAAGAAAAGAGTGAGTTTGAAAAGAAAATTTCGAAAGAAGTTTGGAAAAGAAATTTGGAAAGAAAATTTGAGCTCTTTAATCTTTAATCACCCCAAACAATTCCTTGTGGTTCATTTTATTCGAATTCCCCATTCCAGGTAAACTACATTCTGATCGGAATGGTGGCTACGTTTATCATTTGCTGGCTTCCATTGACCGTTGTAAACATTTTGAAAGATTACAGTAAGTTTTAGCAGAAATTTAAAGCTAAAAAACCATATTTAAAGTATCAAAAAATCGATAGCTAAAGTTTAAAAAAGTATGCAAAATTAATGAATAATTGAAAAATTTCAGAGAAAGAGCCAGATTTCCTAAAAAGTCAGCCATTTTTCTTCCCACTTGGCGCTCATGTGATCGCGATGTCACTTGGTAAGTGATTTTGAATTGAATTGATTTTGAATTGAATTGAATTGAATTGAATTGAATTGATTTTGAATTGAATTGAATTGAATTTTGGTTAAATTGAATTTGAATTTGGATTAAATTGAATTGAATTGAATTGAATTGAATTCTTTAACTCAAATTTTTAACTTTAACTTTAACAATCTCAAGTAAACCTTCCGAATACAATAGCTAAAATTTTAGTCCTCTGGAATCCGCTGCTGTTCTTTTGGTTGACAAGAAAACAAAAGCGACTCAACTTGAGCCGAATCATCAACACATCAGACATTGTGAGTAAAAACAAAGCTAAAAAGTTGAAAGTTTTCAGCTAGAAGCTGAAAAAAGTGAACTAACCATTTCCTACGTTTTCTAAGAGTTTTCGAGTTGTCTATTTTCGAATTTTTATTCGATTAGCTCAATTTTGAGTATATTTTATAAGGAAATGAGTCAAATTGAGGTTATTGAATGAAAAGTGTTAAGATTACGGTAGGTTTAAGTGTCTTTTAGAAAACGTATTAGTTAAAAGAACAATTTCTAATCCTAACTGTAGTTTAGAACAGAAATGTGATCGTGTTTTGAGAAGAAAGTTGAAGAGAATTGTTCAAATTGCATAACAATTGCTTTGGATTAACTGATTAACAAAAAAAAAGGAATAGTTTTTGCTTTTGAAACAGTAATACTGTCGAAATGTCAGCTAGTACCATGTACAGTACGTACTAGCGCCATGTCAGTATGTATCAGTACTATGTACAGTAAGTGCTAGTGCTATGCCAGTAGGTATCAGTACTATGTACAGTACGTACTAGCTACTACTATGTACAGTAGGTACCAGTACTATGTACATTACGTACTAGTGCCATGTCAGTAGGTATCAGTACTATGTACAGTACGTAGCTAGCTAGTATCATGTCAGTACGTAGCTATCTAGTACTATGTACAGTACGTAGCTAACTAGTATCATGTCAGTAGGTATCAGTACTATGTACAGTACGTACTAGTACCATGTCAGTAGGTATCAGTACTATGTACAGTATCATGTACACCACTATGTACACTTGCAGCGTAGTCGCTGCAATTCGATGATGTTACACAATGGGGACCATCCCCCATCTCCATTACACGTTCATCAACCATTGGGAAATCGCCTAACAGTGGAATTAGCCGGCAATGGAACAAGGCGATCATCCAGAGAATCGCTGCTTCTCGTGCCGAGATCTGGTATTCGTTTCTCCTTGAAAGTGTCTGAAAGTAGTCACCTCTTGGCGTGATAATCTTCTACCCACAGCTTTTCGAATACTATGTACAGTACGTACGAGTACTATGTACAGTACGTACTAGTACTATGTACAGTACGTACGAGTACTATGTCAATAGGTACTAGTACTATGTACAGTACTTTTCGAGTGTTGTTCTCCTTGCTTTTGGTGTCTAGAGGGTATCAAATAAGAATTTTTGATTTCACTGGAGTGTTTAGCTTCTTCTTTTTCACTTTTGTTCTAGATTTGCTTTGAGTTAGCTTTTTAGGATAAAAGTAACTGTAATTTGCTTTTTTTTTCATCGGTTTGAGTAGAGTTTTGGTAGAATTTTGGTGTTGTTTGGAGAAATAGAGAAAGATTGAGGCTTTAGATGTCATCTTTAGCATCTTTAGCTGGAGATTTAAAGATGATTGATGATAGGGATGGGTCACTAAAGTGCTGCAATTTCTTACTGAAATCTGTAGCAAATCTGTAGCTTTAGAATTAAAGCTTAAAATTCAATAGCTTTATCAATAAGAAACACAATATTTGTAGCAAGTTCAAGTCGGCGGCTATTTCTGTAAAGAAAATAGCACTTTATAGCACTTTTTTTGGCGGAGTAGTTGTTGTAGTTGATCACTAAGTTTTATCAGTAGTTTATCAGTTAATCAGTAGTTTTAAAGTCTCTTTGTGGCTAGTGTAGTCTTCAAATTCGATAGCTTTATCAACTAGAAATACAAAAATTTGTTCTGAATATAGCTGGGTCAAGTTGGCGGCTATCTCGTGCGACGATTTGGTGCATCGAGCTCATCGGAAGGAGAATCTGAGACGGAACCTTCGAATCCAATCGGAGCACTTTTAATGAGAGTGTGTGAAAAAGCTTTGATTGGATGTGTTGATTGGATGTCTTGGCTGAATTCTTGGCTGAATTCTTAGCTGAATATCTTGGCTGAATTCTTAGCTGAATATCTGTACCTTTTAAAACCCCGAAATTTTCTGGTGAGCATGGCTTTAGATGACTGTCTAGAGTCATCCAAAAGCAGGGAAGTGATGCGGAAACGCAAGGGATCTGGTGCAATAAAGTTAAACTAGATCCCATGCGTTTATTTGCTTTGAAATAGGCTTAGAATTAGCATGGCTTATGAAGAAAATGAGTTCAACTTGTAAAAGTTCAACTTAGTTATGAGTTTTTACAAGTTGAACTTTACTCTACTTATTTCGACTACCTACTTATTTGTATTTCAAATATTCAGGTGACGTCATTCGCAAGCAGAATCTCGAGTCTTCGTCGATCGACCCGATCCAGAAGGAGCAGTAAAGCAAACTCGTCATTCGGGTAAGGGGAAAAGGTTTAACAACAACAACAACAACAAAAAACTTGTTCAGCAAGACTTATTCTAGATTTAGCAAGACTTATTCTAGGTTTTATTAGGTTGTGAAAGGATTTTAGTATAAATCTTGACTACCATAGCATTTTCCTTGACTCTTATAGCTTGGTTGTAGTTATCAGAATCGATTTTTTAGAAGCAGTCGGCGTCCCACCTTCACATCGACTCCTTTCACAACGACTCTCGATTCGGAGATTCCGCCAATCAATGGACGTCCACTTATCATCAAATCAACTCTTTCTGTTAATCCATACGGAGAAAAAGAAATGCTTTAAATGATTGATTTCTGCATTGCATTGCATTTAACTGAAACGGAGACACGGAAAGATTAGATTTGGAGAGAATGAGGTTTAAGTGGGGCACAGGAATCGATCTGTTTCTTATCTTGAATCTTGAATCGATCTGTTTCTTATCTTGAGTCTTTGATCTATCGATTTGAATCGATCTTATCGTTGATCTCCCCAAACTACGATCTTTCCCATTCTCCTCTTTTCATTTTTTTCAATTGCTCAACGTCACTTGCTCACTCTTTTTGTGCTCATCTTGCCATTCTTGTTTTTACTTGAAATCTTGAAATCCTTTTTTGTTTAAAATGCAAACATTTTGGTGCTATTCTCATGTGGCAATTGATTTCGTGTTTCTTGTCGATATTTCCGGGTACGATAATAAAGTGTGCGTTTTGGGAAATGATAGAAATGCACGGAAATGAACAGTGAACAAGAAAATACTGTAATAATACGCCCCTCGTACAGTCGCGTAGTCGCAAAAGTTTTTTAGTATTTCATTTTTTTCAAAGCGCTCATGCTTTCAAAAAATGCATCTTTGATATCAAAAAATAGCTGAAATTCAGGGATTCTGGAAAAGGCCTTAGGCAAGGCCGTAGAGCTTCGAAAATATTTCCATTTAAGGGAATCGTATGCGTAGATTCAGAATTTTGACAAATCAGACCTCGCCGACACGTCAAATTTGGGCTAAAAGGCAAAAACTGCGGAAAAGCGTTAAGTTGCGTAGTTTTTGCCTTTTAACCCAAATTTGACGTGTCAGCGAGGTGTGATTTGTCGAAATTCGGAATCTACGCATACGATTCCCTTATATGGAAATATTTTCGAAGCTCTACGGCCTTTCCTAAGGCCTTTTCCAGCAAAAAAAAAGATGCGCAAATGTCCAGCTGCGCAAAAAAAGGTAGCATCTGTCCCACCCCCGCATCTTTGATATCAAAAAATAGCCCTGAATTTCAGCTATTTTTTGAAACCTAAGCACGCATTGTAGCATAAACTAGTGTTGAGAAAAACGCGTTCAAAGCTAGACTACACAACACTCCGCACCGTCATTATGGAGATGAGGATACTATTACAGTATTTATGGTATGTATTTAATCCAGGATTGGAGTGAAATTTTGATATCAGATTACGAGCTGACAATGAGAAAGTGCGATTAAATTATATATTATAGATTTCGTGTGGACAATAAAGTCTGAAAATCTTTTTAGTACTACAAAACCTGTTTGGAGGGAAGCATTTGCAAGACTTTTGATTGCAAGACTTTTGATTACAGTTGTTGTAATCAAAATTTACTAAAATTAGCCAAATCTATTCTTAAAAACCCTCTTCACACCGATCACCTCCTTCTGCAATGGCTCTCGGTTCAGAAATTCCAAAGAAAAACCCTCAGGCAGTCTAATACACACATTTCCGGGTGCCTAGAGGTGGAGATTCGAAAAAAAAACTAGACACTTCTTTTATTACAAATCCAGTTTCCAACTTACAAATAGGATTCTCCAAAGAACCTGTGAGATTGCCGCAGTGCACAATTTTCCCCTTTTACAGGCAATTCCCATATTTTTATGTAATCAAAGGGTTATCATGAGAAAATTGATCCCAAAAGGTAAAAGAAGTAGAGACAAATTGTGCCTAAAAGAAAAGAGATTGGCCTAAACACTTGGATACAAATGACGCCTCTTGAAAACAAGCCAGCATCGCCTTTCCATCGCATTTTGAAGTCGCTGGTCGCTTCGGCAGCTCATTTACCTAATTTCAACTTTAAACTACAACATTTGTTCATTATAAGCTTTTGTTGTGCGTAATTATTGCAAGTTCTCCTCAAAAATAGCAGTGTTGAATCGGTTTCTAGCCCTGCAATTGTTTCTTTCCCACTAAATGAGCCCAAAATTTTGTCCTTTTGCTTCGTTTTCTTCTGAGTTTTTAAGGTTTCGAACTTTGCCATGCCTCTGAAATGAGAAATGCAACAACTAGAAACAGTTTTTTCAATTCTTGAAGCACCAAATTTGATACGTAACCAATAGTGATAACTTTGTTGAGATCCGGTTCAAATTTAATCAAGTAAAATGCCAGTTGAGTGTGAAATTCCTTAAGCTTACAATCTTTTCCTTAGCGTACAATTTTTTCATACTTTTCGTGTATTTATCATTCTTCAAATAATATTGTTCATTTTTAGATGCCCCGCAAAACGAAGGAGGCTAAGGAGAATGGAGTGAGTGGTGGCGCTGAGGGAGGACAAGCAAAAAACGCGGACCGAGTCGAGCCCGATTCAATAGATCAACAACCGTCCGGATCGCGAGGAAGTACAATGACCCCACAAACGGTGATGGAGTTGGCTGCTCACTTGCAGAGCTTAACAACGGTAAATTTCTTATTGTGTATTAGATCTATATTTGACTTGTTCGCCGAGCTATTAAATTGTTGTCATCCTAGTTCCGAAACAAATCATTAAATAAAACAAAGGTTCGGTAAGCTCTTTCACCTTAAAACTGCCTTTGAGAACTAGAAATACAAATAACAGAAATAACTAGAAAAGAAATAACAATGCGAGAAAGATAAAAATTTAATGCCCTTCACAGGCACTAACTAATGTATTTTCTTTAGGGCACGGCAGCGCGCGATCTCAACTCGGCTCTCAGCCACCAGTACAACTTCTGGAATACGCAACCCGTGCCCAAACTCAACGAGGTCGTTGAAGAGAACACGCACATAGAAGAAGATCTACAAGCCGATCAGGTATCGCTTTAAAATAAGCTGGTCGTAATTTATTTTGTAGATTCGCTCGGAACCATTCTCGCTGCCAGATGCTTTCGAGTGGAGCGATGTAGATTTAAATGTAAGTGTTTATCTTGACATTTTTGAATTATTTTTTTTCAGGATGTGGCTCAATTGACCGAGCTCTACACGCTGTTAACGGAGAATTATGTGGAAGATGACGACAACATGTTTCGCTTCGACTACTCGGCCGACTTTTTGAAATGGGCACTCCTTGTGCCAGGTGTGTTTTGTGGGAGTTGGGTTTAGAAGCTTTAGGCACAACGGACTGATTGAGTTTCCCATTGTTGAATAACTTTGCTTTTTCGCTGATTTCGCTTTTTACATTTTCAATTTAGGGTGGCTTCCACAATGGCATTGCGGCGTGCGTGCCAAGGCGACAAAGAGGCTCGTCGCGTTCATCTCTGCCGTCCCACAGAAAATTCGGGTCTATGACAAGACGAAGCAAATGGTCGAAATCAACTTCTTATGCGTGGTGAGGGAAATGATGGCGAATGAAATTTCCAGTAAATTTTAGCACAAGAAGCTCCGACAGAAGCGCGTTGCACCAGTGCTCATTCGGGAAATCACAAGACGTGTCAATCAACAAGGAATATTTCAGGTGACTATAATATAGTTTGCTTTATACTTTTTGTAATTTAGGCTGCATTTACTGCGGGAGTCGTACTACCGAAGCCAGTGGCCGTTTGTCGGTAAGACAGGTTTATGAGATTAACACATGCACAACTGTCACTTGTTTGTTATTCTCAATCAGTCCGTTGTGCCTAAAGCTTCTAAACCCAACTCTCACAAAACACCTGGCCCATTTCAAGAAGTCGGCCGAGCAGTCGAAGCGAAACATGTTATCGTCATCTTTCACATAATTCTCCGTTAACAGTGTGTAGAGCGCGGTCAATTGAGCCCGATCCTGAAAAACTAGTTCAACTAGCGAAAACCCGTGGAAAGCTGGATTGGCGACGCTCGGTTTACCATTCTTCGGTCGGTCTCTGATCACGTTCCCGAGTCCGAGGATGACCCAGATGCGAAGAGAATCCTTGTTGAACATTTGATTTCTAGCCGGGCATACTTCTGATTTTGTTTGTGCGGATTGTTCACGTTTTATCGTCGTTAAGCGATATCAGTTGTGCAAATTGTTAGGGTTATTAATCAATAGGCTGTTGTTTGTTTACTTTTTATTAACAGATGAATTTTAGATACTATCATCGGTCGCTCAATCCGAAGAAGTTGATCGAGGTAAAAAATTGTCTGCAAATAGCAATATCGCTTTTTTTAGTGCAAGTTCTCTTCTTTGTCACCAAAGTCTACTATGCTTCGTACGATCAAACTTTACAAGTTGCCCGATGATACGAAGAGCACAGGATTGCGAGTGATGGAAAAGAAGTAACGCTACGATACATAACTTGTTGCATCTTTTATTTTAGAGACATTGAGGGAGCGCACAAACTACTCAACTGCCACCTCGAAAAGTACAATCTGGCACCGGTGTTTGATCAGAAAGAGTTTGAGCACATATTTCTACCAAGGCAACTTTTTGTACTTTTAATGAGTTCAAGTGTTCTTTAGGGATGACGTCATCTACAGCTACGTACTGGAAGAGAAAGGACAAATCACTGACATGATCTCATTCTATTCTCTGCCCAGCTCGGTGATGCAAAATCCGCAACATAAGAAGATCAACGCTGCCTACTCGTACTACAATGTGGCGACGACGGTGCCTTTCAAGCAACTCATGAACGACGCGTTGATCATCGCTCGCAAGGCTGGATTCGATGTGTTTAATGCTTTGGATCTTATGGCCAACAAAGAGGCTAGTGTTTTTTTAACGTTGATAGCTTGTAGTCATTTTATGTTTGGTCGACAACATAACATTCCCATAAAAAAAAATGTTTTGCTAATAATGTATTCTTTTAGGTGCTCGAAGAACTAAAGTTTGGCATCGGTGACGGGAATCTACAGTACTATCTCTACAATTGGAAGTGCCCCGAAATGAAACCGAATCAAGTCGGTCTAGTCCTTCAATAAATATTCTTCGTCTTATCGTTTTTGTCAACTTTGTGATGTTTTTGTTCTTTTTCGGCTTTTCTTGCTATGTTATGATTATTACCTTGCTCATAATGTCTAGGTCTTAAATAGCTAGTAGTTTTTATTACCGATTCCTTTTAGAACACTGGTGATTTTGGTCTACAGTCAATAAAGTTTTTGCGTTATATTGGACGGTATATAAAATGGTTCACCCCATTGCTCTCTACCTATCTTTGTCAAGAAGATTTTATTTCTCTTTACGTTTTACAGATGTTCTCATATGCAAATTTTAGGATGAGTCAGCTGACTCCGAGATCTAGCGCAGGGTCAGAAGTAAGTTTTTGAAAAATCCTAATTCATTAGCGCCTTAATAGCGATGTTTTACTGAATAAAAATTTCTTTTTTTAGAGTAGAAAACGAAAAATCACCGAGTACATGTCGGACCACAGGTCGCCAAAGAAAGAACGCCTAGAAGAAGATGACGAAAATGATGATGACGTGGAATCAGAATCGGAGGTTGGGAAAATTTTTGAAGTCACTGTGGCATGTATATTTAGTCACTCGCAGCAACAGATGGGACCATTCTTGCGCCAAAATACGTGCTTAAGTTTAAGGAGGTTTGTCTTGCGTTTTGTTCTGTTAGCATTCTTTTTAGGCCTTCGAGTTGCACCTCAAAATGGGCAAACAGCAAGCGAGCAGCCTAAAGCAGCTTAAGAAGGTGGCAACCGAGTTTGCAAACAACTCCGACTTTGAGGACAAGGAGTGAGTCTTTGAAATTTTATCACTTTGAAACAAACTAACCATTACCTTTGTTTTTAGAAGACTGGTTACATCGCTCATGCATTACATCCGCTACTCACTTCGACAAGGTGTGCTAAGCATTGGCCTAGGATTGCAAGCACTGGAAGAAGCACTCAACAAGTTTGTGTCAAGAGACATTCAAGTGTAGATATTTTAATATATTTCACTATTTTAGAGGAACCTCTGTACACGTTTTCCCCCGACTTCCCCAAACGTCCACCAGTTGCCGCCGTTTTCTACGCAAAAAAGAGGAACATCACCTACACAATTACGGCAGTGAAGGTTTCCTAAGCTTTTTGGACATGTAAATCTTACATTTAGGCACTGAATGAACGAATGAATGGGGACACGTTTGGAAAGGAGCAAGCGGAAAAGGATACGTTGGAGGCCGAATGGAAGTAAGTTTTTGAAACATGGTACAATTACACGCATACCCATTGGTAGCTTAGTTGTTAGCTAAATTTTAGATACTTACGCGAACTTGAGGCTTTTCTGAGTAGCCACAAAGAAGCCGATGACTTGACGCAAGGCCAGATCGAGTATGTGAAGACGATGATCGCCAACAAGAAAAAGAAGGTTTGTACTTGTTTCTGTGAAGTTGACTACAATTATTTTAGCTCGATCCTCAACCAAAGCGTATTGCTGCTGGAGGGAAAAATGGAAAGTCGGCAACAAGAAAGGATCAACCCAAACCGAAAACCCCGCTTGATATATACATGGCCGGAAACCCGACATTGCGAGTTTTTGATAACTAAAAAAGTCTTCTATCTGGTTAATTGCATATAGGAGCTCAAAGAATTGGGGCAGTTGCCAAATTTCATTGACTGAATAGTTGACTAAATAGTTGCTTGAAAGTACTTCGCTCAAAATGAGGCTCATCTTACAAAATGTTTTTAGGTTTGCGGAATATTCGCCTGAGAAGCGCCTTCGCAAGTTTGAGAAGAGGTTCAACAAACTCGATGACGGGGAGCAAGCCGTTTACGTGAACATCGCCAAGTCAAGTGGTTATGCCTAGTTGTTTTCTATGGTTCTTGTTACAATTTTTTTGATCTCCATTTAGTGCCTCTTTTACTACCACTTTTTTTTCAATGTTGTCTGAATATCTCTCACGTTGTTATTGTTTGTTATTGCTTTGCTAAATTTATGCCTTTATTCACAAAAATCCCTGTATGTATGCGGCAAATTAATTAAACGAGGGTTCAATAGGTTGTGCTCTGATCAAAAACCGGAAAATTGGTAGGATTGCTAGGTATGTGAAACAGAAGCAAGAACTTAAGCCTGCAAAATCTCTGCAAAACATTTATCTGAATATCTCTTATTTTTGTCAAACAAACACGATATTTTGCCTAAATAATATTGCGTATCAAAGACTTCACTGTTTTTCCCAAACCATTGTACTTTTATCTCGACACAACTCGGAGAATCACATGGATTTTCCCCGGATAAAAAGAATCAAAAATTGTCGACGAAAGCATTCTGATCCCTTTCTCAACATTGGGATTAGTGGTGGTCGGCTGCCTACCTCACAAAATGGACTGAGATCTCCTTGGTTTTCCTACTCTTACAGATATGAAAAGGGGATAAATGGGACTGATGAGGCCGTCACCGAGAAAAGGGATGTGCACATGACATTTTTTTATTCTAGAAAAATCTTTTGTGTTATGTTTTGAACGAGATCTCTCTAGAATTGTAAATCTGGGACACTTAAACAGAAAATTTTTTGAGGATCCTATTAAAAGAAACCTTTCCTTGCTCCAGAGCTTTATAGGGTTACTGGATCAAAGTTTTCAAAAGCAAATCTCTTTTCAGTGCATTTTTTGATCAAAAGTCATTGAGAGCTGGCTATTGTTCGCGTAAAGCTTTTTAACGATTCTGATTCCGAAAACAACAATGGTCAACTTCTGGATTCAGCTTTTTGAGCGTCAAGAATTTCCTAATTTAGTGAACTTTTTAATTGGGCTTTTTGGCCAAAAGTTATTGGCTTTTTTCAAAGGATTTGTTTTTGTTGAAAACATTGTAGCCTTCAGTTGTGCAATTTAAAAATCAAACAATTTACAATGATAAAATTTTTTTTGTACAATGAGTTGAATCAAAAGGAAAAAAAATATGTAAATATTTTTTAATCTCTACTTTACATTTTCATGATGATCCAACCAAAAATAGAAAAATTCCTTTTTAAGAAAATGACCCCATCAAAAGGGAAAAATCGCTAATTTCCGTTCCAAAAAAAAAAAAAAAAAAAAGATGAACCTATTTTTGGATATTTTGCTTCACTTTTTGTGATTCTTTGCGATGCGATGCGACGTAGTTTTTGTTTCCGTTCACCACCCGACAAAGTAATCCGAAGTGTAGACTTTTACGGAGTAAATTTATCCGCTAAATCCGGAGGAAATTTTTTCTGAAATTTTTACCATTTCTTCATCATTTTTACGATTTCAAAGCCGATTTCAAAACGAATTTCACCAAAATATTTTCCGTCTAGAGATGGGCATCACAACGAGATTCATTAAGAAACCCGTGAAGAAAAGAAAAGAAAAGAAAAGAAAATTTTAAGATTTCTCTTCATTTGTGTGTGAAACAAAAAAAAATGTTTTTCTGTATTGTTTAAATGATTTGTCTCTGATCTCTGATCAACTCATTCGCTAGTTTTTTTTCGCTTTTTTCATTGATTTATTGATTTCTTTCGTTTTCTGCGCTTTCTGCATATACACAATTTTTGGGTTTTTTGATGATTGAGTCAACGTGAAGTTGGTGGAGCGTATCAAATGAAAACTTTTAAAATCAACTGAAGGAAATAACTGAACCAAATTTCTGCCTTTCATTCAGAGCTTTTGTCGATCTTGTTATTCGGAAAGTAAGATTCAAAACTTTTTACCACCTTTGATCACTTATTTAGATCAAAATCGTGACTTTTCTGGCTCATCGAAGCAATTTTGAGAATTTCAGTCAGTTTGATTCAATTGGGCCTTGAAATTATCGAACTCTCACGAATAGTAGTGGACCCGAGTTGAGTTGATGACTATTTTACGCTTTCCAAGCTTTCCCAGAAGCTCAACACTCAAAACCCCCCCCTAGATCTCATCGTCAGCTACATTTCCCGATCCCACATCGATAGGTTCTGATAAGCGGTTTATGAGATTTCGAGCTTAGAGCTTAGGGAAGATATTTCCTTGCCCCTCAGCTCATCGGCTTTCTTTTTTATGTTTAAACGTCAAAACTGAAGGGGAGCGGGCGCTACAACGTTTGATTCAAAATCGGTCGTACCCCCGTAGACGATTAAGAATTTCAGCTGATTATGAATAAGCTAAGCCAAGCTTGCCAAGATCGCTGTAAGAAAGTCAACCACCAAATCAAACAAAAACTAGAGAAACCAGAAATCAGGCTTGAACTGGCTTACCGAACTTACCGAACTCTCACGAATAGTAGTGGCTAGCCGAGTTGGTGACGATTTTACGGCGTCCAAAGCTTTCCCAGAAGCTCAACACTCTAATTAGCTACAAGATCTCATCGTCAGCTACATTTTCCGACCCCACATCGATACGTTCTGATAAGCGGTTCTCGAGATTTCGAGGAATTTAGGCAACGCTCAATTAGAGAAAATAGGATTCCCGTTTTCCAGCTAAATTTTTGCAAAACACTTACTTTCCTTGGTCAAAATTGGATTCAAGAGACTCTGATCTCTAAAAACTTCTGAAAAACAAGGAATTGAGTGCGCTAGAAGGGAAAAGTTCACGTAAAACAATGGAAACCATGGAGTAAAGTCAAAATTCTAACCCTTCCACTTCAAGAAAATTTTGAAATTCCTCTTTCAAAGCGCTAATATTTCTTCATTCATATTTTTCGTCCCATTTCTCTCATCCTCTTTATCAAAAAAGCTCTCAAAATCTCGAGTACAAAATAGACAGACAGATTGATTTTCTTTTGATTCCAAACAAATTCTCGTCGCTTAATCCACAAAAAAGCTGACCTGGCACTTGAAATTTTTGAATTTTTGAATTTTTGAATTCTTGAATTTTTGAAAGTTCTCAAATTCCATCAAAATCAAAATCCTTTTTTTTCTAAAATTCTCAAAAATTTCAAAACTTTTGATTAATTTGCAAATTTTCTGTGAATTTCTGTGAATTCACAACTCTCTGGAGACAGATTTTTAACGAAAATCGAACTTTCTCTTTTTGAAAAATGTTTTAACGCTTGAAATCACATTCATCTTTCGACTGCGAAACTGTCTTATTACTGTCTCATTACTGTCTTATTACTGTCTTATTACTGTCTCATTACTGTCTTGTTACTGTCTCATTACTGTCTCATTACTGTCTTATTACTGTCTTATTACTAATATACCTTTCCAGGGAACTCTTTGAAGTTCAGAGAACTCAATTTCAAGAGCAATCTCTTTCCGGAGCAAACACTTGGTTAAGGGCATCCCAAAGTGCTTTCAAATCTTACTCATCATAAGTCACTCTCGAGATAGAAACCTTTAAAGTTTCCGCCAATTTCGCCAAACAGCAGCCTACTTAAAGCCCTGAACGCCGATCGATCAACCTGGCTCAGTAGCTTACTATGTAAAGAAACGTAAAAACTCTCTTTTTATAGTAAAGTAGAGTAAAGGCTAACTTTTTCCCTAAAAATTCGCCTTTTTCATCACTTGAATGGCTTGAATGCGACGCTGACGCCGTCTTTTTGATGGATTTCCTTTTTACCCTTTATTCCTTTATTCCCTCATTCCTTTATTTCTATATTGTCAATCTTTGCTCTTTACTATTTATCTTTACTAGTCTCTGCTTACTGTATCCATTGTTTCTTCTTCTCAAATCATTTCACCTAATCTCTTTACCGATAAATATCACCGCTGGGATTACGGTAACGATTTGATATTCAAATTTGAACCATTTCTTCAAGCATTCCGCCAATTAGCCTAATCGCAGAGATTCTAAAGAAAATTTGATCGGAAAATGTTTTCCCCATTGTATTTCTGAGAAAATCCGGATTTTCCTCCAAATTCCCCAAAATCTTTCGGCTTTTCTGTAGCTTATTGCCGAGATTGAAAAACATTTTCCTTTTAGTGAATGTGGCTCGCTTGTTGACCGGGTTGAGCTCTAGAAATTGAAGATTTTCCCTTTTCCCCGCCTTTTTCGCTGATTAATTGTTTCGGAGTATAAAACTAGTGAAATTTGCTTATTTCCGGCTCACTTGTTGCCCGGGTTGAGCTCTAGAAATTGAAGATTTTCCTTTCCTCAATTTCTTCTCAAAGTGTACTTTGTGCTCAAGGCTAAACACACCCTTTCTAGTGCACTAAATTCCCTCTTTTCCTTGCTCACTAGCGATTTCCGTTGTGCGTTCTTTCCGCGTCTCTTTGAAAGACAGCATCTGGCAAACGGTTTTCAGTGCCAGAAAAGGTGCGTTTCGCAAAGAGCACAAAGAACCAATTGAGGAAAGGGCGAGTTCAGTGTGCCAGAAAGTATGCGTTTACTGCTGAGCACAAAGAACCAATTGAGACAAAGAGTTCAGTGTGCCAGGAAGTGTGCGTTTACTGTTGAGCACAAAGAGCACTGGAAACAAAGCTCAGTGTGCTAGAAGGTGTGCGTTTCCTGGTGAGCACAAAGAGCACTCGGAACGAAGCTAGTAACGCACCCTTTCTGGCACACTGAACAAAGCCGTGTACTAGATGCTGTTTTTCCCGAAAAGAACGCACAAGTTATTAGGCTTTGGTCAATGTCCAAAGCCTTGCTTTTCTAGTTTTCTCTCTAACTTGCAAATTCCGGTGTTTTCCTCGCGTTAATCCACCGAACGTGTCTTTCTCGATTTTCTCGATTTGAATGCCAAAGTAGTCGCAGTTTCTGAGTCACACTGAATTTTGTTTTTCAGCTCAATTTTTCCAAAATTCCAGAGTCTAACTTGGTAACAATTTTAGAAAAATGGGCGAAGAAGACGATGTGTTCAAAAGAGTCGAAGTGGCGAGCCCGGCTCATGACACATTTCACCAAATGCATACATTCAGCGGCAGCTACAAGTCGAAAGTAAGTGTGCAAATGGGATTCGAAACTCGAAGCCAGCTTTAAACCAGGTTTAAACCAAATTCAATCCAAAATTCGATAAAAATCCAAAAAAAACAAAAAAACAAAAGCATTCCACCGAGATTCGAACTCGGGTCGCAGGATTCAGAGTCCTGAGTGCTAACCACTACACCATGGAACCACGTTTTGGTGGTGGGTTAAAAGGGCATATAAAACGGCGTTGGTCGCTTTTTTCGATTTCGTAATTTTAAAAACCCATTATTTTCTCGAAAATTGCTGCCTTAGAAAGAAAAGTTTATTCGGAATTTCAAGAAAACGAAAAGCCATTTAATATTTGATTTCAAAAATTCCTTTACTATGACCGATTTACGTCGAAAATCTCTTGTAAGTAGCTCTTTTTTTTTGATCAAAACAAATGAGTAATCTTTCAGCCAACTCGTCGTCTTGTAAGTGCTTTTTTGCAGAGAAAATTTTCACTGCTTATTTATTTGATTTGTTTAAGCAAAAGAGAAATACCGATGCTGAGCTGATGGCGGGATTCATTTATACGGAAACTCTCAGAAAGGTGATCGATCAATTAAGGGGAATTCACACGAGTCGTTTCGTTGTTAAAGTAGAGCAAAAAAAAGCAGGGATAAGCCTCTAGTACAGTAAGTAATAAAGGCTTATCCCTAGTACTAGTACAGTACTAGTAAGTACTGTCCTAAGTTTAGTTACAAATTCAGCAGTTGGATTCAAAGATTTTATCATTTATACGGAAACTCTCAGAAAGGTGATCGATCAATTAAGGGGAATTCACACGAGTCGTTTCGTTGTTAAAGTAGAGCTAAAAAAGCAGGGATAAGCCATGCAATGCAAATTTTCCACCTCACAGTGCACTAGTAGGTGCTTTTCTAAGTTTTTTTACAAAGTCAGCAATGAGAATCAAAGATTTGAAGAGATTTTATCAATAAGATATCGATCAATAAGATATCAATCAATAAGAAAGCTTTCCACTCAATTTCTAGAACACTATTTTTTGTGAGACAAAATTTCTTGATTTAATCAAAGCTGGCCTAGCCTTGAACGTCAGAAAAAGTTGCCTTGAACCAAAGCTGCCTTGAACCAAAGCTGCCTTGAACCAAAGCTGCCTTGAACCAAAGCTGCCTTGAACCAAAGCTGCCTTGAACCAAAGCTGCCTTGAATCAAAGCTGCCTTGAATCAAAGCTGCCTTGAACGCCAGATCTATTAAAAATCTTTTACTTAAGCTAATTAGAAGTCTAAAGTCTGTTTATTATTTTTATTTTACATTGAAATCTCTCAGAAAATTCTAAGAAATGTCGAAAGTCCTAGAAAAAGTTGAGAAACGGTGTAAAAACTTGTGAATATTTCATTTGGAATATTCCATTTGGAAACTCTTTTCGGCAACTCGACAAACGACATCTCGTGACCACAAATTTTGGTCTTAAAATTGGAATAGGGAAGTCGATCTCCATTTCAACGAGAAATCCAAACGTTTTTCATTTTCGTTCAAAAAGGAAAACACTATGTTTTCGATTTTATAACTATCATTAACTCAGATCTTTCAAAACAACATTTCGCAATATTATTGTAAAAAGCGACAATTGATCTTGACAATTACTATTGCAGAAGCTTCTCGACATTGCTTGAGCTTGATCTTGATTTTGAGGAGCTTGATCTTGATTTTGAGGAGCTTGATCTTGATTTTGATTTTGAGCTTGATGTTGAAATTGGGCTTGATCTTGAACTTGAGGTTGAGTTTGATCTTGATGTTGAGCTTGATCTGGAGCTTGATCTGGAGCTTGATCTGGAGCTTGATCTTGCCACTGCTTGGGATTTAGAAATATCTGCATTGCTTGAGCTTGATCTTGATCTTGAGCTTGTCATTGCTTGGCTTGGGATTTACAAATATCTACAAAGTGATACCAAAAACAGAAAATAAAGGCCTTGAATTCGGCCCAAGATTTTAGACCGAATCAAATGAAAGCCAAGTTTGATTTCCTTGGCGAGAAATTTCGCCGTCTTTAATTTCCTTGGCTTTTCACTTTTAAACCCATTGGTTTGGTCGAGTTTGGTTTAGTAAAACCATTGTTTTGGTCGAGTAAAACCAAAGTCCAGCGTTGCCTTTCCGATTGGCCCACAGTTACGCTATTAGAATGCAATTTAATCATTATTATGTTTTTCGATTTACTATAGCTTTTATTGTCTTTAAAAATTGTAAAAATGAAGCTCTCTTACTGAAATAACAAGCTTTTTAGCTTTTTACATTGGTTTTTCATTTTGTTACTATGACTACAGCTTAGAAATCTACTTGAGAAATGGAAAAATGCGGGAATTCTCTAGAGAAAGATTCTGGAAATTTGAAAGAAAGGGTTTTTTTGAGAAGTCTTTGGAATATGTTGATTTCAGAAATCATTATTTCTTGTTTCTTAAAGGTCAATCAATTACCTAAGCCGTTATGATGTCAATTGTGTTTCTCTTGGAAACAAGAAGAGATCTTCAAACTGAGACTGAAGCAGGGTTAGATTAGGTTCAGAAGAAGGACCAGCCAGCGCAGCATTGCTTGATCTACTGCCAATTCCTTCTTTCTTCCTTCTTTCTTTCTTCTTCCTTCTTTCTTCTTCATCATCATCTTCTTCTTCCTCTTCTTCTTCTTCTTCTCCCCTTCTTCTCCCTTCCTTCTCCCTTCTTTCTTCTCCCCTTCTTCTCCCTTCCTTCTTCCTTCGTTCTTCTGCCCTTCTTCTCCCCTTCTTCTCCCTTCCTTCTCCCTTCTTCCTTCTCCCCTTCTTCTCCCTTCCTTCTCCCTTCCTTCCCAAATTTGAGTCTCGATCTCGCGAATGACAATTCAAGTAGAAAAAAATGAGATTTAACCGTTGAATTCCTCGAATTTTCGTTGAATTTTCGTGACAAAAACCCATCTTGAGGTCACGAAAATCCCAATTATCAGCTAAATCCTAGAAAAAAAACGTTTTTATTCACATTGAATATTCAAATCCGGGATTAGGTGAGAATAGAATGGATTTTTCGGGGTTTTCTGATGCCTACGAAACATATGAATAGGCATAGATTGGGAAAAGCGGCAAAAAAATCCTCCGAAAATAGAAAATTGACAATGTAGAGCTCATCTTTCAATTGGACACTGATTTCAAAATTTTGAGATCATTTTCGTTAGAAATTGTTAAAAATCATTAGAAATCGTTAGAAATCGTTGGAAATCGTTGGAAATCGCTAGAAATCGCTAGAAATCGTTAGAAATCGTTAGAAATCGTTGGAAATCGCTAGAAATCGCTAGAAATCGCTAGAAATCGTTAGAAATCGCTAGAAATCGTTGGAAATCGCTAGAAATCGCTAGAAATCGTTAGAAATCGCTAGAAATCGTTGGGAACGCTGGAAATCGCTAGAAATCGCTAGAAATCGTTAGAAATCGCTAGAAATCGCTAGAAATCGTTAGAAATCGCTAGAAATCGTTAGAAATCGTTAGAAAATATCGTTATCGGCTATCGTTATAGATAGATTTTGAAAATTTAAAAGATTTAGAAGAAGAAAGATTAACTTTAAAAGATTTAGAAGAAAGATTTAAATCTAAAGTAAGAAAGTTACGAATTAAATTAATTAATTCAATTAATTAATTAATTTTTTTTAAAAAGTCGCGAATCTCGGCTGAAGTGAGACTCGAACCCGAGTTGAGCCGTTCGGTGGCCCAGGACACTATCCAATAGACCACCGAGGTAGTTGTTCCCCGGTCGTGTGGTGACCTCTTAAAGACTTCCAGCTCGCCTTTATCTTGTTAGATCTTTTTCGTTTTTCTCTACATTTTTCTCTTTAAAACTTTTTCTTCTTAATTCCCTCTGGAGTCAGAGAAACCAAGTGCCTTGTGGTGTAGTGGTTAGCAAGATAGAACGGTGAGGGGAACATCGAGGGTTCGAGTCCTGGCGGCGCAGAACTTTTTTATCTTTCCCAGTTTCAGCTCCTATCTTCGATTCCTTTTCTCCTTTAGCTCAATCACTTTTCTAAAATGCCTTCTTGACTACCGTAATCTTGCTTTTCAAGGCCTAAAACGTAGCAAAATCATTGGTATTTGTATCTAATCTCATTCTACTTTCTATATCTTCCCCCCTCTTCCCCCTCCCTCCTTTCCCCCCCAAACCCCCCCCTTCCTGGGTTTTTCCCCCCCCTCCCCCCTTCCCGATATTCTTTATAAATTCAAAATGAAACTTAAAAAAATGATTTAAAATGGATTAGTTTAAATTAGTTTAAAAATGGAAAGGTTTATGAATGAAATAGAGAATGAAATAGAGGCGTTTTAGCTTTTAGAAAACGAATTTGTATGAAAGAATTGTTTCTAAATGATCAGTTTCTCTTTCTCTTTCGAATTCTAATGATTCTAATGATCAAAAGAGCTTTCTCTTGCTTTCTTTGAATCAAATTCTCCATTTACCATTTTTCTTTCCGATTTTTTTCCATTTCCGTTCCATATAACTATGATTTTTCTTTTCTTTTTCATTTCCTGTCGACGTCTAGGCGATTTGTGACTCAAAAAGCAAGTTTTCCCGTTCTTTTTTCTTTTCCTGTACTCATCCAGATGCGAATTTCCGGAAAATAAAGCAAAAAAGCAAAAAAAAAACAATCAATGGCCAGAAGATGAGCTCTTGATGAGCCAGATGAGCCAGATGAACTCTTGTTTACAGTGGAGATGATGAGCATATCGAGGAAATGCAAAATTCGTCGTGTACTTATAGCCTGCACTTTTTAGCCTTGGGTTTAGTGTCAATTTCAAGTCCAAGACTGACTTTATCAGGCCCAGCCTCAGGCTCGGGCTCAGGCTCACTTATAGGTAGCCTTGTTCAAAACCTAACCAATCGATCCAGCCAAGATTAGCGCAGACTCAAGAAATTGACCTTATCTTGGTTTTAGCCTCAAAAACTGGTCCCTGACAGCCAGCGTTAGGCAACCAAAGGCAAGATCCAAGAGGATAGTTCTGGGCAAGTTCGCTGATCTAATCCAGATCAAGTCAAGACTGTCCTTGCTTTGTCCTTGTCCTTGGCCTGGCTCTGACCCGGCCCAGACTTGGCCTGGTTCTAGACCTGGTTCTAGACCTGGTTCTAGACCTGGTTCTAGACCTGGTTCTAGACCTGGTTTTAGACCTGGCTATAGATCTGGCTCTAGGCCTGGCTAGAGCTAGATCTATAGATCTGGCTATAGACCTGGCTATAGACCTGGCTCGAGACCTGGCTCTAGACCTGGTTCTAGACCTGGTTCTAGACCTGGCTCTAGACCTGGCTATAGATCTGGCTATAGACCTGGCTCTAGACCTGGCTATAGACCTGGCTCTGACTCGGTCCAGTATTGACCTTAGCCTGACCCTAGACCCGGCCCTAGACCTGGCCTACCTTGCGACCATGAACTCTGGCAATTCTAGTCTAGCTTTCAAAGCTTTCAGAACTGCTTACTACAAGAATTCGCTGGCTGAATCCAACTTCTGACCTTAATTCCTTGGAATCTTCAAAACATCTGATCAGTTCTTTTAAAACATCTAAAAACATTCGATTTAACGAGACGGGAACAGACAAATTACTCACGATTTGCGTCAAAAATCCGCGGAGAAACCCTAGGATTTCTCTAGAGAAAAACTTCAGAAAAATCGCGGATAATCTATTTTTTTGGGTTTCCACTCAAAACACTCATCCCTTGGATTAATCTTTTGCGGATTATCGAAAGCGGAGAGCTTCCGGTGATCGACAGAAATTAAATTTATATAAATTCATCTATATAAATTGACTTTATTCATTTTTTCTATCAGTTAAATGCCTTTTTGTTAACATACAGAATCTGGCACACTGCAGTGTACCAGCTTATATACCAGTGCACTGCCATATAGACGCTTTTCTTTGCTAAAACCCCCAAAGAAAGTCGCTTTTTTTGACGCCAATTAGCTTGCTTTTGCGTCTATTGATCAGTGGGCTAGATGCTGAATGTTTGCATGTTGTTGGCTCACTGTTTGAGAGCTGTAAACGCAAAGTGTCTGGCGTGCTGTAAGCTGAGCTTTTTGAAGCTTAAACCAGGATACCAGATGCTAAAGGTTTACATTTTTCTTTTTCCAGACTCTCTCCACCTCATCGTCGATTGATTCAATTCGAAGCGAGGATTTTCGAAGAAAACGTTTAAGCATGCCGATGATGTATCAAATGTACGAAAGTCAAGTGAGTCACAGAAAGGTCGCGTTTACTAGAGGGAATTCAGGTTCAGTTCGTTTTATTTGACACGGTTTTGTTGATACTTTTCAGTTGATATCAAAGATTATGAATTGATTGAATTGATTGAATTGATTGATTGAATGGTTGAATGGTTGAATGAATGAATGATTGATTGAATGATTGATTGATTGGTTCAATGACTCGTTCAATCACTGGTTCAATCACTGGTTCAATGACTGGTTCAATCACTGGTTCAATGACTGGTTCAATCACTGGTTCAATTACTGGTTCAATGACTGGTTCAATCACTGGTTCAATCACTGGTTCAATGACTGGTTCAATCACTGGTTCAATCACTGGTTCAATGACTGGTTCAATCACTGATTCAATCACTGGTTCAATCACTGGTTCAATGACTGGTTCAATCACTGGTTCAATCACTGGTTCAATGACTGATTCAATCACTGGTTCAATCACTGGTTCAATGATTGTTTGCTTGATTGAATGATTGAATGATTGAATGGTTGATGGATTGATTGATTGATTGATTCAATGATTCAATGACTCAATGATTCATTCATTCATTCATTAAATCAATTGGTAGGAAACGTTCTCCCACGCCGAATGACATCAAAATCATGCAAATTTAAATACGTCTATACAAAGTTATAGCCAAAATACTTTGTACAGCTATAGACGTTTCCCCAAACGTCTATAGCTGTACATTAATGGAACGATTGTTGGACTATTGTATTGATTGATTGATTGGTTGACTGCTTCAATGATTCAATAATTGATTCAATGATTGATTAATTCTTAACTGCTTCTCAAAGCCAAATCATTTCAGTATGACGATCTTCGTGGGACGATTTGCGGGCCAGAAAGTCCGGATTTCTTCCCAGTGCAAGCCAGTGAAACCCTCAGAAAAGCACTTTCTGGAATTGGTAAGAAAAAAAAGTATTTGTCTGCCATTTTGCATTTAAAAGCCATCAATTTCCAATCAAGACGTGCAAACTGTACATGTACCCAATCTGTAGATAGAATCATTGAAATTCGCATTTCAGACACAAACGATCAAGTAATCATCGACACAATCCTTTCGCATTCGAATTTCCAACGACAGAAGATCCTGAATGCGTATGAGGATATGTACGAAAGGGTGAGTTCTTTGATTTTTGCATTTTTGGAGCAGAAAGCTGGAGCAGAAAGCTGGATAAGAAAGCTGGAGCAGAAAGCTGGAGCAGAAAGCTGGAGCAGAAAGCTGGAGCAGAAAGCTGGAGCAGAAAGCTGGAGCAGAAAGCTGGAGCAGAAAGCCGGAGCAGAAAGCTGGATAAGAAAGCTTGATACTTTCTTTACTTTCTTATCCTAATTTCTTTATTCTCGATTTCCAGAATCTTCTCGATGATCTCGAAGAAGAGACAGGCGGTTTCTTTCTTGAAATGGCGTTAGCGCTTTTTAAGCCAGCACACAAGCTCGACACGCAATTGCTTTATAAAAGTATTTCCGTAAGTTTCGTTCGTTAGTTAATCAGTTAATCAAATCCAATTGATTGATCCAATTGAGTTAATCAAATTCCAATTCAGAATCGTTACGGAGATCGCTCGATTGCAGTTGAGATCGCTTGTACTCGATCGACGAAAGTAAGCTTTAGTTTACAATGATTTTGATTGATTGATTTGTTAAAGATTAGTTTATTTAGTTTAAATAGTTTATTTAGTTTAAATAGTTTATTTAGTTTAAATAGTTTAAATATTAGGTTGATGCAAAAAGTCTTTTTCATTTTTTTCGTACTTCCGTTAAAAAGTAACAAATGTACCAATTGAACAACGGTTTATTGCATTCGAAAGGCCAATTATTTTTCTGCAAAATGACATTAAAACGAGTTTAAAATGCCTTATGTCTAGATTTTTTTGAGAGCCTGAAGTCGGGTAGTCAAAAAAAGGCGACGGCTCGATGATGCATTTTAGACGCTTTAGCTAAGGAAACCAATCTTGATGTTAATAAATAAAAGATAGAGCACAAAAAGTTAGATATTTTTTCAGATTTTCAGAGAAATTGATTCAGCCAATTTCTTTATAGAGGTTTTTATAGATTTTTATGAAAAACCCGTTTTCACTCTCGAATTTGCTTGAAAGTGAACCCAAATTGACTTAAAAAGATGGGAAATTCAACAATAAACACTTTTCATTTAGAGCAAACCATAGGTTAATTGATGACTTTGTTATTTTTCAAAAGAAGTACGAAAAAAATGAAAAAGACTTTTGCATCAACCTAATAGTTTATTTAGTTTAAATAGTTTATTTAGTTTAAATAGTTTATTTAGTTTAAATAGTTTAAATAGTTTATTTAGTTTATTCTAAATGATCTTAAGATAAATCTGAAATAAAATTAGAAACCTTTTAGCAACTCAAAGTTGATTCGCGAGAGTTATCTGGCTGATTACAGGAGCTATAAAAGAACTTTAAAGGAACTATAAAGGAACTATAAAGGAACTATAAAGGAACTATAAAGGAATTATAAAGGAACTACAAATGAACTATGGAGGAACTATAAAGGAACTTTAAAGGAACTATAAAGGAATTATAAAGGAGCTATAAAAGAACTTTAAAGGAACCAAAAAGAAAGCAAATTTGAAACCTTTTAGCAACTCAAAGTGATCCGCGAGAGTTATCTGGCTGATTACAGGAAAACATTGGAGAAAGATCTATCGGTGAAGGTGGGTTTTTTTTTGACAAATTTATTATTGGATCGAAAAATCAGCCACCTATTACAGGTGGAGGGGATTTTCGGGAAAATGTTGTCTCTACTTTTGTGCAAACCGAGAGACGAGCACGGGAAACGAATCGATGAGGATTTAGTGGCAAAACACGCGACATTGCTGGCTAGGGTGAGTTTGGGGTCGTGCTTTGTGGAAAAAATACCTTTGGTGCACTGAATTCAGCGAATCAGTGCGCCAGAGAGGTTGTGTTTGCACTTTTTTTGAGTCTACAGTACTTATAGTCGTTTTCTGTAAATGTCTGAAACTTTAAAAAGTGATTTTCTAGAACACAGTTGAAGAGTTGGCGAAAAACTTGCAGACATTCGAGGAGATTTTCGTGCAACACACGTGGAGACACATTGCGGCTGTGCTTGATGCGGTAAATGGCTATAGAAAGCTACAGTAGGCTACAGTAGGCTACAGTAGGCTACAGTAGGCTACAGTAGTCTACAGTAGGCTACAGTAGTCTACAGTAGTCTACAATAATCTACAGGAGTCTACAGTGATCTACAGTGATCTACAGTAGTCTACAGTAATCTATAGTAGTCTACAGTGATCTACAGTAGTCTACAATAATCTACAAGAGTCTACAGTGATCTATAGTAGTCTACAGTGATCTACAGTAGTCTACAGTAGTCTACAGTAGTCTACAATAATCTACAGGAGTCTACAGTGATCCACAGTGATCTACAGTAGTCTACAGTAGTCTACAGTGATCTATAGTAGTCTACAGTGATCTACAGTAGTCTACAGTAGTCTACAGTAGCCTATAGGAGTCTACAGTAGTCTATAGTAATCTACAGTGGTCTACAGTAATCTACAGTAGTCTACAGTAGTCTACAGTACTCGAATAGTACGGTCTTACTGTACTACTATTACACAATACTACAGTACCCCGGTTTTATGTAGTAAAGTAAGACAGTGTTTACAGTACCCAAGTGCCACAGTACCACAGAACAATGCTGGGAATGTAGTACAGATCTTGATCATCTGTGAGTTACCCAAGTATACTGTAAGACTCTAGAACTACTACAGGCTACTGTAAGACTACTATAGTAAGACTGTAAGACAGTACAGTAGTACTGTAAGCTCTTACTACAGTAGAGCAAGTGTTTACAGAGCTTGACCAAATTTAGGCCGACGAAATGATCACGAAAGAAAGAGAGAAAGATTTGGAAACGCTGATTCGAAAGAATAAGAATATTCATTCAGAGATTCGGCAGATGTTCTTGACAATTTGTGAGTTTAAAAAGAAAAATTTAACAATTTGAACAATTTAAAACAAAGCTTTTCAGTGAGAGTCGCCCGAAATGAGCAACTCTATTTCGCGGAAAAAGTGCGAAGTGCTCTTTCGGGTGATCGGCCGGATCATGGGACGGTGATTCGAATTGTCGTGACGAGATCTGAGGTTTTCATTGAAATTGTAGAATTAGATAAATGATAAATATTTGAGTTAATTTGAATCAAAAAAAAAGCCCATCTAGAAGTTAAAATTTTCAATAGATCGCGGAGTTTGTCCTAGTCGATTTTTGATGAGTTTTTGAGAGTTGAAGCTTGTTTTTGTAGGCTTTAGACTGGAATCTAGATTTCGATTTATTCGATTTATCCGATTCTGACTCAACGAATTTCAGATCGATCTGGCTGACATTGTTGAAGAGTACAAAAGGAAATACCATCGTCCACTTGACATTGACACATCACAGGTGAATAGCTGACAGATTGCGATAGTTAAATACAGTCGAACCTCTCTATAACGTAACTCACGGGACGGCTATAGCTTACGTTATATAGAGGTTTACGTTATATAGAGTACCGTTTTATATAGCTTAACGTCAGCCGGGACCGGTCACGCCTTACGTTATAGAGAGGTTTACGTTATATCGAGGTTCGTTATAGAGAGGTTCGACTGTAGGTGATAGAAGAGGTTTCGAAGTTGACTTTGAAGACTATATTGTACTATTGTACTATTGTACTATTGTACTATAGTTTACTATTGTACGAGAGTATTCGGTTCCTGTTCGGTTCCTTTTCGGTTCCTTTTCGGAACAGTAGTACTATCTAACAATAGTACTGTAGTAGTACTATTGTTAGTAGCACTATCTAACACTACAGTATTGTTAGATCGTACTGTATTAGTACTATCTAACAATACTGTAATAGTACTATCTAACAACAGTACTGTAATAGTACTATCCAACAGTAGTACTGCAGTAGTACTATCTAACAGTAGTACTCTAATACTATCTAACAGTAGTACTCTAGTACTATCTAACAGTAGTACTGTAGTAGTACAATCTAACAGTAGTACTCTAGTACTATCCAACAGTATTACTGTAGTACTATCTAACAGTAGTACTGTAGTACTATCTAACAGTAGTACTGTAGTAGTACTATCTAACAGTAGTACGGTTGTACTATCTAACAGTAGTACGGTTGTACTATCTAACAATAGTACTATAATAATAACAGTAATAACACAAAACAGTAGCAAGAAGTCTACTAATAACAAAACATGAAGCAGCTATTGTAAGCTTATCTATAAAAAAAACCGTAAACGCAACCCTTCCAATGCACTGAACCCTTCAAAAGTTGGCGTAATTGAGGAAAAAGAGGGTTTAAATGTGGCAGTGAGCTACAGCACAAGAGATAACAATTAATCGAATCGAATCCATTTCTCTAGACTTGTTCCGGTGATTATCTCCGTCTTCTCACCGCTCTCATCACTGGAAATGCGAGCTATCATCGATGAAAGTTTCTTATTGCATAAGAAATTTTTGGAAAGCTTGATCTTTTAAATGAATCTTTTTTGTAAAAAAAAGTTTGTAAATATTTGCTGATCTTAAATTTATATCAGTACTATCTAACAGTAGTACTGTAATAGTACTATCTAACAGCAGTACTGTAATAGTACTATCTAACAGTAGTACTGTAGTAGTACTATCAAATCAATAACTTTTCAACCTCATTTTTTCTTTTTTTTATGCTCATTTGATCTTTTTGTTTTTGAGAAATTCAATTTTTGAATTGATTGTAAATTTTGGCTTTTTTGAATCAAATAAAATCTGGACTTTATTTTAAAATAAAATTTTAAATAAAATGGGTAATTGAAGTGAAAAAAAAAAAACGATTTGCCTAGTGCACCAAAAAGAATTTGCAATTTGCAATTTGCAAAGAGCACAAAGTATGATGTTTGAGAAAACTGTAAAAAGAAAAGGTCATTAGAGATAAATATCGAATTAAAACGATTCCTTTTCATTTCATATTCTAAACAAAAAACATTTGAAAGTGTTTTGAAAAAGTTAAAAAAAAAAAAACCTTTAACAACAGATCAGACTAATTCACCATTTCTGAAATGTAACGTTTTTTTCCTAGTTTTGTAGTTCTATCCCATATGACGAGACAAAAAAATTCCTCTAAAAAGCACGTTATCGGTGCAGAGATGGTGAATTAGCCTGAGTTTGATGTCATTCAAAAGCTCCAAGTTGGCTCGATTTTTTGGTAAAAATAGTTTATAGAAGTCGAACTTCATTGGGAACAGCGTCAAGTTCTTCATTTCAAACGGCATTTCGATTGGCGCCATTCTTCTATCTGTAAATAAACAAAATTAGACTTGTAGAACTTGGAGAAAAAAATAAAACTAGTAAATTAGTAATTGGTTAGGTTCTTGAATACGAAAAAAGCAAGTGTTTACGAAAAAAAAACAACCGTAAATACTGTAATAGTAGCCCAGCCCCATAATGACGGTGCGGTGTGTTGCGTAGTCTAGCTTTGAACGAGTTTTTCTCGACACTGGTTTATGCTAGAATGCGCTACAAGGTATTAAAAAATAGCTGAAATTCAGGGCTATTTTTTGATACTAAAGACGTATTTTTTTGAAAGTACGGGTGCTTTGAAAAAAATGAAATACTAAAAAACTTTTGCGACTACGCGACTGTACGAGGAGGATGGGGTACTATTATAGTATTTACGGTAGTAAATTAGCAATCGGCTAGGTTTTCGACTACGAAAAAAGCAACTGTTTTTTAAAAATACCGACTGGGGCTACCAGTGGTGAATTTATCGCATACACGAAATATATCAATCACAATACAACGACACACACAATACTAGGCTATATCTTAACTTAACCCACGTCATGACAGACGGCTCCCTAACCCTAAGCTCAATGGGGAACTAAATAGCTTTTTTGGTGGTGAAGGGAAGATGACGATGAAGGAGTGGCTTGTCACTTTAAAGAACTGGGGCCACAACCACCAGACGGCCCTCCAGAAAACCTCTCAACCCGAAGGGAAAGGAAATCCGAAGGGGGTGACCATGTCGCATGTGGGGTTCGAACCCTCGACCTTCCGATTAAGATAAAAGACACTTAACCAGTCAGCCACACGTGCTCATGTTTGAAGGTTTCAAAGAAATTCAAAGAAATCAAAGCAATCAAAGAATTTTTCGTCATTTTTTACGAAAAAATATTTGCGAGGCTGAAAAGTAAACTTTAAAAAAAACGTTGAAACAATGAAAAAGCTGTTTTTTTTTTCGTCTTGCACCGTATGAAAGTCGAATTTGTGTTGAAGATTCGAAATTAGCATTTATAATTTCTTTAAAATGATATTGATCTCGTGGAATTTTATCATTCTCTTCTCATCAACGATGCATCTCGTCTCGATTCTTTTTGCCGCTTTTCTTCTCGTCGGAGTTTCTGCTATGGATTCTACTACAACGAAAACCATTGCAAGTAAGGTTTTACGATTTTATTACACTTTTAATGTGATACTTTGTTTTGGATTTTTTTTTGAGCCTTTCCTTTAAAATCAAATTTTTGATCAAATCAAAATCAAATTTTTGATCAAATCCGAATGATTTTTAAGTTTTTAACTTTTTAGATAACTTATATTTGGTTTGTTATATAAGAATCTCTAAAACTATTGATCATTTTCAAGTTTTAACCTTTTTAAATAACCAATGTTGAGCTTTTTATGTATGTTTTGATGTTTTGATGTAAATGATCACTAAGTTTCTTGTTTTTAAACTTTCTAAGATCAGTCAGAAGTGAAAAAGATCAAAAGATCAAAAGCTGATCATAATGCGTAAGAGTAAATTGGTTTTACGATATTCAGAGAATAATATGTGAAATTCTAGAGCTGGATGACAAAGAATCTACAAAGAACATGCCGGAGCCACGACTCACGACATCAGAAGAGAAAGCAAAGGATAAACAAACGATTACAAAGCAGCCGACAACGAATGACACTACTCCAAGGAACGGCACGATGAATGACACAACCGTCTTGCCCATCACAAGTTCTGAGGGAGAGCTCTGCTCAGGCAGCAACATCGGATGTGGGTTTTGTTTCATTTTGCTGTATAATCCGTGTTTTAGTCGGTATCGGTATTTCACTTGTCATAATTGCCATTGTTAGCATCGCTGCAGCTTGCTTTGGATGGAAATAGTGAGTTTTTTGAGATGTAAAAGTTGATATTTATTCTTTTAGCTACAAGAAGGGCTATCGCTTCCCATATTTCTGGAGAGAACCTGTAGCGGATGCAAAGCCAGCTAACGATAAGGTTTAGAGTGCTTTTAAAGCTTTTGATCTTTCTATTTTAGTCTATCACTGAGCCAGCATTTGCCGAAGAGAGCCAAAAAAATCAAATGGAATACGCAAGAAACGTGTAATTATCGCCAAAGAGTCATTTCATTCGATCGTAAGTTTTATTTACAAGTTATAGATAAGAATTGTTTGTGGGTAGATGTTGTATGCGTTGTTGATCATCATGTTGTTGATCATGTATGTCAATCATCTCAATGCTTTTCTTTTTAGGACAATTTTCAACACAATACTGTGCATGTCGACTTCTTTCGATCCAGTTTTTTTGCTCATATGAATAAAATGTTTTTTTTTTGATGATAAAGATTGAAAAAATGGATATTTCTCTGAGTTTAAAAGCAGCAAAGAGTAATAACTTTGTCATATTTCACATGAACTTCTTTTGAACAAATCTTTGAAGCAAAAAAAGAAAAAGCAAGAGAATTTGAAAATCATCATTTATGGCTTAAGTTTGCGTTAAGAAATTAGCATTTCTGATTGCTTAAAAGCAAGAAATCGGTCATTCTTCCATCATTTCACTCATCTTTTTCGATGCGTCTCGTCTTCTCGTTTCTTTATATCGCTTTTCTTCTCTCCGGAGTTGCTGCTCAAGGGAAACATGGTAAGATTTTGGAGGAAGTTTTGCTTTTGCTCACTTTTTGAAACACTAGTTTTATTCTAGTGCTTCTAGTGCTAGATGCTAGTGCTTCTAATGCTAGTTTTATTCTAGTTAAGTGCTTTGTTTCATTAGTTTACCGATTTCAATCCAATCTTTTCTACAATTTGCGCTTTTTAGACAAGGACAACCGTTCCTCTATCAAAACGATTGCCACAACTATCTCTACTATCTCTACTATCTCTACCACTACCACAACTACCTCTACTACTACAAACGTGACCATCAAAACGGTAGCTTGTTTTTAAGAATACACATTCTTTACAAGAATAATGCGGTCCGTTAGTACGGATACGTTTTAGGGTTCATTAAGGCATTGATTTGATAATAGAAGCTGTAGATATGATAAGTTTTGGTTTACTAGACATACTAGACATGCTAGACATACTAGACATACTAGACATACTAGACATACTAGACATACTAGACAGCAAGTATCAGACCCGATGAATCTATTTAGATATTACCAAAACAAATACTAGAAACAGTAGAAACCTTGTTTAAAAGTAGAAACATCGTTTATAATGATTACAGTGTTTGTTTAGGACACGAGATTGCATTGATTTTGTACTAAAAAGATGTGATACAAGATTTGGCTTGTTGCTTGTTTGAAATAGAAAGCCACTGTCCATTAGAATTACAGTTCTTTCTTTAGAATACGATTGCCAGCACCGCGTCGACGCTTTCCAATAACACAACGACCACGAATTTCAATGGTTCAACAACAATCAACGGCACCATTGGAATGGAAATCAACAACACCAGCTCGACAAAGAGAACACAAGTCGACATCGGAAGCGACGGACATCCAGCATCAAAAGTCGGAATGCAAATCGCGTGTATGTTTAAAATTTTTCGTCATTCACACAGTTTTTAGTGAGCGTCGGAATTCCAATTATTTTGATTATCTTCGTTTGTGTTATTGGTTATTGCGGTTGGAAATTGTGGGTTTTAATGTTTTTAGATGATAATCTGTTCGATTATTGATTTTTTTAAAGGTTTTGTTTCTTTTAGATATAAAAAGAGTGATAACCTTCGTTCACTTCCATTCATCAAGAATCTTGGGGAAAAAGTCGGCGAAGGAGGGCGATGAAAAGGTGAAAAGTTGATATTTCTTTATGTTATATAAAGATTTGTTTTAGTCAAAGCTTCTCGGAGATCAAGTGAGCCAAGACGAATCGATGGCGGATCAACCATTGATTGTCGAGAGTCAAAACACCTGAAAGGCAGAATTTCTACTTCACCCTCACATTTTTGTTGATTCTTCGAGTAAAATGGCTTTTCTTGTAAGTGATTTTATATAATAAAACTTCTGGTTGAACTTTTGAAGCAAAAATTTGATTTAAATGATGGATTTTTAAACAAAAAAAGATCATGGCTGTGTTTTCGGTTCAAAAGAAGAACAATCGGTTGGTTTTGACAGGCGGCATCTTAGTGAAAAGAAAAGGGAAAAGCAAACAGTGTTGAAAGGGAAAAGAACGAAAAAGTGACACCTCTGGAGACCATTTCTTTTCTTTCTTTTTTTTTTCTTTCAATGGGTCTCCGAACGATTTTTTTGCTACATCTCATCCAAATATGGGAAAGGAAAAGAGGCGACAATTTGGACACTCCTTTTGATTGAAAAGAAGAAAAAAATTGGGGGACAGTCGACACACGAAGTCGAGAATACGTTTTTGGAGAGGAGAGATGATTTGGTTGCAAATTGAGAAAGGAATTGGTGGGGAAAGTTCACGGATTTCTGAGGGATTTCAGTTGTAGAGATGTTAGGAGATGAACTACTGTAAAAATTGATTTGAAATCTGATAGAACGGGTAGGCTTATCAGTATAAACATCTGACGCCACTAGAGAATAGTCTGTACCAAAGATTGGAATCAGAGCTGACTTGTGGAATCTGATTCTTATTGTTAGTCTGGCTTTGACTAGGATTTATGAGATGCAGAAAAGTCAGCTTGGAATTCTAAGGCTTAGCTATGGAGTAAGTTGGATGCTATGGAGTAAGCTGAATGCTATGGAGTAAGCTGGATCCTATGGAGTAAGCTGGATCCTATGGAGTAAGCTGGATGCTATGGAGTAAGCTTTTCAGTTCTACTCCATAGCATCCAGTTTTCGAGAAAAATCTTTAGAAGTTTGGCTATATTTTGGAAAAACGGCCTCGCCTCATGCTATGGACTTAGCTATGGTATGATGCCGAATTACTTTCTCTCGAGCAGTGACCAAATAGTGTTGTGGATAGTGTGCTCGTCCTTTGCTCGAATGGACGTTGGTTTGAATCGCATCGCTGTCAAAACAAAAGCTTTAGGTAGCACTAAAATCAATTTTTAGGTGTTTTAAAGTGTCTTTAAACAGTAAGTAGCTTGGAAATGAGTATCCTGTATAGCTATAGCTGTACAAAGAGCATGTAAAGTTAGATAAAGATTAACTTTTGACTTTTAACAAACATTGAAAAGATTGTTTAAAGATTTGTAGAGTCATTGATTATTGTTATTGATCATTGTCATTGATCATTGTCGTTGATCATTGTCTTGATCATTGTCATTGATCATTGTCATTGATCATTGTCATTGATCATTGTCATTGATCGAACGGATTCAAAGATTAATCAGACTATTCAACAATTCTAGGCAAAGTCTCTGAATCGACAAATCCTCAGCTACAGCTGTTCGATGAAGAGAATAATAGAATTATTCTCTTCATCGAACATCAATTAATCCAAATTTAGCCAGAACAATTGAAATCTTTTCTCCGATTTCACTTCAATTCCTTTTCCCATTGAGGTGTCATCCCGATCGGATCGGTGGATCCTTTCTTCTTTTCTTTTCTTCTTTTCTTCTTTTCTTCTTTTCTTCTTTCTTTTCTTCTTTCTTTTCTTCTTTTCTTCTTTTCTTCTTTCTTTTCTTCTTTTCTTCATTTCTTGACTGCCCCCAGGCTTTCCCTTGATACAAAAGGGACCCTCAAACCGGGTGTCCCGCCGCCCCATCAGAGACACAATAAGGAGAAACTTCAGAAAGGAGTCCCCCAAATTACAGACCTTTCCCCTCCATCCATCCTTGAGTTTTTCCCTCATCTATTCCCGACGCTTTCTCATCTCATTTTTCCGATACGGGTCCACGGATCGACGATCATGCACAGGTGATTTTATCGTTTTCTTTCTTTCTTGACAAAGCTACTGTAGCTAAGATTACGACGAAGACGAGCGTACAATCGCGTAGTCTAACTTTAAATGTCCAATTCTCCACGCTACTTTAAGCTACAGTTTACACTTGTATTCTAGTATTTTGTTTCTTAGTTTCTTCGTATTTTTTTGATATCAAAAGTTTGAAAAAGAAATCTAGAGGCTGAGAAAAAAATGATTTTCTAAAAAGAAATTAGACTAAACAATTGTACGATTTTCTATTAAAGTATATAAACGTTAAGATTCTACCGTAAATACTGTAATAGTACGCCCCTCGTACAGTCGCGTAGTCGCAAAAGTTTTTTAGTATTTCATTGTTTTTCAAAGCGCCCGTACTTTCAAAAAATGCGTCTTTGGTATCAAAAAATAGCTGAAAATCAGGGCTATTTTTTGATACCGAAACGCGCATTGTAGCATAAAACAGTGTCGAGAAACACTCGTTCAAAGCTAGACTACGCAACGCTCCGCAACGTCATTATGGGGATGGGGTACTATTACAGTATTTACGGTAGGTATAAATGTCGATTTTTTAATTTTCACTAATACTAAAATGATGCAAAAAGAAAACTTTAAATTTAAGTCTCAATTTAAGTGAGACTCTTGATTAATTTAGCAATTTCCCCTTAGGATTTCCCTTAGGATTTCCCCTTAGAATCTCTTTCTTCTTTACTTTCTTCACTGATACTATAGATCGAATCCAATCTGAAATCCCAAAGATGGCTCGATCGGAGTTCGAGTGTTTCTCTCTTTCCACTCATCTTCTTCTTTCTCTTCCTCTCCTTCTTCTTCTTCTTTATCTTCTTCCTCTTCTTCCTCTTCTTCCTCTTCCTCTTCTTCTCCTCTCCTCTTCCTCTTTCTCTTCTTCTTCCTCTTTCTCTTCTTCTTCTTCTCCTCCTACCCATTTCATTCTCTCTTTTTTTCCTTTCTTTCAATCAATATCTCTCCACAAACATTTGCATACTCAAGGAAAAGGGAAAACTTTCGGAAATTGAAAGAGTTTATATAGATGACGTAATAGATTACTAGATTACAGTTTTCTAATTGAAAACGATAATCTATTACGTTTTAATTAGTTTTCAATTAGATTACGGTTATAGATTACCATTTTCTAATTGAAACCAAAGCCTTAAAAGATAAAACTCTGTAATTCAATGCTTTCTCAAAGAATCCTTTCTATAAACCGATAAACAACCTTTAAACTTAAAAGTTTCCATTCCAAAAATGAGATGCTTTGAATAATGGTTGAAAGAGATGAGTCAACTCTTCAATAAAGTAGACAAAGCTTCAATAAAGCTTTCATGAATTTATGATAATACGATTCAGCACAAAGTACAGATCAGATCAGATTTGTATTGGATTTGAGTCTGGGATTAGATTTGAGTCTAGGATTAGATTGAGTCTAGGATCAGATTGAGTCTAGTATCAGATTGAGTCTAGGATTAGATTGAGTCTAGGAATAGATTGAGTCTAGTATCAGATTGAGTCTTGGATCAGATTTGAGTCTAGTATCGGATTTGAGTCTAGGATCAGATTGAGTCTAGGATTAGATTTGAGTCTAGTATCAGATTGAGTCTAGTATCGGATTGAGTCTAGTATCAGATTACTATTCCATTTTTCAAGTTAGAACTTCACAGGTTAGGGCTATAGATTCAATATTTGGGACTTTTGAGTTTAAAGATTGGGATTAAAGATTAAAGATTAAAGATTAAAGATAGTTTAAAGATTAAAGATGTTTAGGGCTTTCAAAATTGATTTATGAAAAAAAAAGATCATTGACTTGTTGTGACAAACATGCATTTACCGTTTCCTCAGTTTCTTATTGAAACCAGGGATACACGGATCCGGATCCGCATCTCTACGCAAGCATACAAAGAACGAAAAGACGACTACGCGACAGTACTATGACGGTGTCTATTGGAGTGTCGTGTAGTCCTCTTTTCGTTCTTTGTATGCTTGCGTAGAGATGCGGATTTGGATCCGATTGGAAATCAATCACTAAATTCAGTTTCAGACTTAGTTATTGTTGTTTAATGATAAAAAATGCTTTATTATTTTATTAGTTTTAAATCTAAAGAACCTTAAAAACATTGAAAACAGATTTGAGTTGCTTTTAAGCAATAGAAATGCTTTTAAGAAAAACTTGAACATAAATTTGTGATAAGACAGCTTTTAGAAGGCTTTTAAACAGTTTTTAAACAGTTTTTAGATAGTTTTAACCAAAAAAACAACTCGAAATGCTATTTATTCGAAAGAAAAGCAAACTTAACTTAAATGAAACTTGTTAAAGTATAGTCTTTGATAGGAAATTCCCTTTTTTAAGGTTAGACTCTATGAAATGAGCTTTAAATCTATTGATCGATTGGTATCGATAAGTATTGAACGATAAATAAATATTGAATTGAATTGAATCAAGTCTGTACAGAAAAGGAACAAAAACGGTAGAGAAAAGGAGTCAAATCTGTAGAGAAAAGAAACTAAATCTGTTTTTTTAGAGAAAAGGAACCAATCTGTGTAGAAAAGGAATCAAATCTGTATAGAAACGAAGCCAAATCTGTAGAGAAAAGGAACCAAATCTGTATAGAAACGAAGCCAAATCTGTAGAGAAAAGGAATCAAATCTATCGTCGTCCTGGCTTTCATAATCGATCTGTAAAAGGAATTTTTTAACCCAAAATCATTCAAAACACATTATGAGCTGTCTGTGCTTAAATTTCAAATAATTCTGATCGAAACGAAAGGGAAACGAGTGGAAAAAGCTGTTTTATCTGCTTTTCTAGCTGCTAAAGCCAAAATGTTCTGCTTTTCCAGCTGCTAAAGCCAAAATTTCTAACCTTTATCTTTTCTGGAGCTATCTTGTGTTCACTTTTTGTTCATGGAACACCTAAAAACCTGTAAACACATCAATTTCTTGACTCTTT